TATATTTTATTTTACATAATTTTATTAAGACCTCTTCTCTTAGAATTTTTTTATAAAGAAACCAAACTATTAACTGTCTAAAACAAATCTTAAAAGCTCGAACAAGTCAAATGAAAAAATAACAAATCAATCAGACTTCTATGTATCTGGAATAGTCGTAATACTATATATTATTATTCCACTTTATGCAATTGCATGTAGGAAAAGTAGGGTTTCAAGGAGGTTTTTGGTCAATGATGCAAATGAGTATATTATGACTAATACGAGCAAATTGCAAAAATATTCAACAATTATATCAGAGTAGGTAAGAACACAATATTTACTTGGTGAATATATATATTTTATGAGAATATATGTAGGAGATAAATTGATATGTATTATGACAAAATAATTCTCATAATACACCTCATGATTATAATCAATAGTTTCACATATTTTTTTTTTATGATTTTGAACCAATTACAAAGTTTGATATAATAAAATATTGATATATAAGGCTTATTAATATATCATTAATATATATATATATATATATATATATATAAAAAGAACAATCAATAATGATAAGGTGAATTCATATATTAAAGTAATTATTGATTTTTATTAATTTAATATATAAATATGATCATCGAATCTTTTAACTAAAATAATTTTTTTTTAAAAATTGTCATCGCGTCATGCGAGATGTCAAACACTAGTATTATTATAAATTACATCAATTTTATTGTTGTATGTAATTATGATTATGTATGTCATATATCTCGATGCATATGTATATATTGTTAAGCGCCCTTTATCTAGATGAATACTTACTATTATGAATGAAATTTTTACCTGTGGAGCAGGTACCTGACTTTAACGGGGTGTGGATTTCTCGCTTTAGTAGGTAATGGAGTGGGAAAGGGGTTTATTTTCTTACCTGAAGCGGGATCAGGACAAGGTAGGTAATGACATTACCCGCTCCTAATCGAACCCCGATTAAAAATTTTATTTAGTTAAATATATGTATATATATGTCGGGCGGGGGGTTGTGTATAATAAATGTATACATGTATGTATTATACATTTAATATTAAATGACAAATATGTTTGATTTTCAATATTTATAATTATTATAGTGATGATTCATTATAATTTAATTTTAAAATAAATTGTTTTTATTGTTTTAGACTCAAAGAGTACCCAATGGGTTTCTTGAACCCGTTAGAGATTCCTTTCTTCCCGAACCCTTTGGGATTAGACGAGGCGATGTCGAGGTTAGGGATGTGGAGCTTAAACAGGGTTGGGTTCTAGAACGGGGTACATCCCCTCCCGATACCCGCCCCGTTTCCATTTCTACTAAATATATATTTAAACCTACCACAATCTTATTAGTTATGTTATTTTTAGGGTTTATTGAATTATTTTTCATAATTCAACCGTTGGTAGTTACATTTTTTTTATTTGTGTAATATTGAAATTAATTTGACGTATCTTGATTAATCTTTTTATTTATATAAATTTAGTTTATGATGAATCAATATCCAATGTTCATTTGATGTATTTGCACAAATAAATATGTTCATTAACAATTTTTAATTTTGTATTATTAATAGGTATATTTTTATAATTAATTTATAAACATATACTTAGAGGTCAAATAAAATATATATTTGTATTGCTTCTCACATCAAATAGATTAATTACAAAAAATATCATTTATAAATTTGTTATATATATATATATATGTATGTATGTATGCATAATTTTGTGTCATAATTATCTATAACATTTTTCTATTTGATTAACATATATTTGTTAAATTATAATTTTGTGTTGCTTAAACAATGTTACGTGTAGATGTATATTCTTATTTATGTTAAATAAAGTAAACTATGACTACATCATCTATTGATATTTAATAAAATATCTCATCAGTATCAAAACATGGCCACAAATAAAAATAATTTGTTTTTTTTGTATAATTCTTTTTTTTTTTTGTAAACCTGATTTTTGTACTATCGTCATTAACTATATAACATGTAATGTCCTTTTTATACAACATCATACATTAATTTCATAGTAATTCTAACAACTAATTCTAACAAACAAATTCTAACAACTAATTCTAACAAACAAATTCAATATTAATTAAGACACATACATTAATATGTTGAAAATAAATCACTTATCAATATTACGTACATATTTCATAGTAAACGAAATAAATTAATTGCATCTTAACTTTCCAATATAACTTGTACCAATCAATTTCATCACCATACAACGCACGGTATCACACTTGGTAGAGATAAAAAGAAAAACATCAATGCCTCCCTCCAATCAAGTTTTTTCTATAACAAAAAGTGCACTTTTATATTGATAACATAATCATACGTGTAAAATGTGATTCTTGCAATGCATGGCACTTTTTCTCCCGAAATGGTGGTGAACTCATCTTCAATTATGCAACCACCATAACAAAAGAGTGGGCAATTGGTACTACTCATGGATAATTACTTGGTACGTAGCCCCCCTCTCCATCAATCAAAGTAAGATAAGATTATCATATTTAATATTTTAATAAGGGCAATTTGATGGGTGGGTGACATATATATGCATCAGAAAAGTGTCCACCCAGAGGTCCACTGTGTCAAATGACACAAACTGACCCCAAAAATGGAGGGCAATTAATTAATGACCAACCGTTTGTTTGTTTAAGGGCATGATAACCCTAAGAAGATAGCTTACACGAGCCTCTGAGTTGGGGTTAGATATTTACGTAAAACTCATCATTTGCCTAAAATGTTATTAGAATATAATTTTTTTTCATAAGACGATTAGAAACAAGGAAATATGCATATTTTATTAATATTAGTAGTGAATCCATAACATCTATTTTAACACTCATTTAAATACCCAATGGATTTTACCGAGCGATGGACCTTTAAGACTGATCAAAGACCCGTAAAGTCATTCGATCTGTTTTAGCTGAATTCCACCGTTTTGAAGGAATTATTTTTACGTTTTTTCATTGATTTCAAGGGATTTTCTCCTTTATTTGGTTGATTTCGAGTGACATTTTCAGTATTTTGGTTGATTTCGAAGCATTTTTTTTTGAGTTTTTGGTTGATATCTCTTGTATTATCTAATATCCCAGAGCACCCCTGAAAGATTAGTGGGTGCATCTTTCATACTCTAAAAAAGATTCTACTTGCAAAAGTTAGTTGAGCGGATGCACAGAACTTGTTGGGGCCATCATAGGTCTCCCATGTGAATACCAAGTGCATCAAATGTTGACAATTTTTGTGTCATCAAGCATTTTGATGAAATTGTGATTTACAAGAGATAGAGTACTAGGTGAAAAAGGTCTACTTAATGTGAGCTAAGATGTACGGAGTGCACATTTACAAATGTTGTCTATCACCTTCAATCATGATAAGTTGGGGGCCTAGGGTTCTAGGGGCAACGCTTGGTCCTTCTAGACTTATGTTGGAAACAACGTTTTGGAGACTAACGACGAAATTAGAAGCTTTTGATTGTAAAAGGGTTCTGACTTAGAGCTCCAAGCGTTCTGACTCAAAAGATTATGAGTAGTCTTCTGACTTGGAGCTTTTTTTTGAAACAACAACCAAAAATTTATTAACGGCTAGCAAGAAGCTAGCAAGAAGCTAGCAAAAGAGAAGAAAGAACAATACGGGATCTGGATACAACCGATAAGATGACATCTCCACGTAATCGGGTTTTTAACACACCCTTTACACCTAGCCAAAATCCAACACCACAGTTTTTCCACGATTTGATCGAGGATGATATATTTGCGGGGAGAACTATCAGAACCACATTTGTTTCGAAAGCACCAGAGGTTGTAGCAACTGATGAAGAAAATCCCTTCCAGAGCTGTCTTGACGCGACTGTCCTTGCTGAATGAATTAATTGTGTTGATCATCGAGTTCATTGACCTTTCCTTGGAGAAGGATACTGACTTAAAGCTTCTGAGTTGGCTTCTAACTCAGAGCCTCTGAGTCTGTCTCTTATTCGTTTCAACCTTATTCACAAGCAATTACAACTGTTCTATAGTTATTTACTAACTGCCAAACTACCCAGTAATCGTCGATCTCTCATATATATATATAAATCCGTTTATCTAGTACGTGAAAACCTCGAGTTTTGCTATATTAAATGTGGGATTTTTGGATTATCTCGATACTAATTTCATGAAACCTAAGGCTGTAATGGATTGAAATATAGTATTTAGAAAATATAACTGATACACGATCCAAGAATTTATTTGAGTGATTGTAACAGGATACCCAATTTATCAACATAAAAGACTTTGGTAGATCCAAGAAGATCTGTAAGTTCTATCGATGATCTTCTTTTCTCGGTCAGTCCCTCGAACTTGTATAGCTCTAAGGCGATCATAAGGAGTTGCATAGTGCACGCTTTGTTGTGGTTTGTTTGGAGTACAAGGAACTCAGTGACTTTTAACAAAGAGGTTTTCAACCCGCTCGTGACGGCTAATTCGATTCAATCTTCTGCGTTCATTTGGTTTAAGCATCGTTGTAAATTCGGTAGGTCGGTCTCTTGGAATGATTGGTGTTGTAACTTGAACGTGTTGTAATTTTCTTTGTTGCTTATGCGGGTTGGCGTTTTGCTTGCCTCGCCTTTATATATTGCCGTTTAAAAAAAAAGACTTTGGTAGATCAAAATATATGGTTTTTTGTTAATTTTTTAGAACGGTAAAAAAGATTGTGTTGTTTCAAAGTTACCAAACATATTTCTAATCATTATATCATGTTAGTAATTGTGATTTTATTCTATAATTCTCTTTTTCATTTCTCTTATATTTTCTTTGTTGGGGTATTATTATTTTGACAAGCGAAAGAAAAACACTGGTGAACAATTATGTATCCACAGTATAATCTTAAATATTTTGCAAAAAGTAAAACCAATTACGCATCCACTCATCCTCAATTAAACTTACCCCTATATAAAGGGATCACTCTACCATATCTTCTGCACCATTTATCAGGAACAATAAGAGATATAGAGAGAGAAAGGTAGCATTTCTTTAGAGAACACTTTTCTTGTGAAAGAGGGAAGAGAGATATACTTGTATTTGTAATCAATTAAGAAAGATGATCGCACATTTGGCTCAGCTCACTCTTGCATTCGGCCTTCTTGGTATATAAATGACCTTCATTGTTCTCTTCACTTCTTTATTAGCTCTCCTCCTCTTGTATCTATATATGTATCTAGGGAATAATTGCTTCAATCTATGCCGATTCCGAATATATGGTATTTCCATGCATGATTCTATAGCTAACGTTTTGCTTTCTTAAAATTTACAGGCAATATTGTTTCGTTTATGGTATTTCTTGCACCGATGTAAGTCTCCTTTGATAGTTCTCATTTTATTTTATCATAATGTATCGTAGTTTAACTACGCTTAGGTTAATTAATTCCTAACCTTCCCGACGTGATTAATAAAAATGCAGACCAACGTTTTATAAAGTTTACAAGAAGAAATCAACGGAAGGGTTTCAGTCGGCACCTTATGTGGTGGGCTTATTTAGTGCCATGCTTTGGATATATTATGCATTGCTGAAGAGCAATGTCTTGCTCCTCATCACCATTAACTCAGTTGGTTGCTTCATCGAAACCTTGTACATTTGTTTCTTTCTCTTCTATGCACCAAAGAAGGCTAGGGTATGTACCAATCTTTATTTTACAAATGAAAATTAACGATCATGGTTATCAATAGAGAAAGTTAAATTAACAAAAAGAGAACTTGGTTATATATGCAGATGGAGAGTTTGAAGCTAATTGTGTTGCTAATAGTTGTGGGGTTTGGATTGATCGTTGGCCTCACTCAATTGTTTGCAACTGGAGTTACCCGTGGGGTCATAGTTGGATGGATTTGCCTTGTATTTTCTTTATGTGTTTTTGTAGCACCATTGGGAGTCCTGGTAAGTATGCATTCACGAACGAAAATATTAATCGCTTGTGACACAACAAAATGCTATTTAGATACGGCATGATTCAATTTCTCTTAAGATTCATTGACATCATTTTGCAGCGACAAGTGATTAAAACAAAAAGTGTGGAGTACATGCCAATTCTATTATCGGTAGCACTCACCCTTAGCGCTGTCATGTGGTTCTTTTATGGCCTACTTCTTGGTGACTTTAATATTGCGGTATGGCAAAAAAACATTCAACTTGCACATTCGTCTTTAATAATGGTTATCTTTCATCTGATGATCATTTTCTTTATAATTTTTTTGCAGATCCCAAATGTACTTGGATTCACTTTTGGTATCATTCAGATGATACTATACTTTATATACAAAAACAAGAAGCCCGTCATCATCGATGAAAAGATTTCCAAATTCGAAGAGAAAATCACTGCAATGGAGGTTCAAAGAATTCCAGAATTTAAGGATACAAAAAGCATTGATGTGGTAGAGCTGAAAGGTATGATGCCTGCTGAGATTCTTTCTGGGGTTGGAAAATATGCTGATAACGCTAATCATGCTGTTGTTAACCCTCAAGCTCTCCGAAATATGCCAAATCACATGACCATTGAAGTTGGTGCTTGAAACCCTAACAACTTGATTCTGATTTTCTGTAAAACAATAAGGCATGTACCTGTGAAGTTTCACCTCCCATATATAGTATTTCCATATCTTTGACACGTCTTTTGATCTTCCCATTTTCAAGCTTACATTTGTTGGTGATTTTAGTGTCAATGTTTTCATTTGGTGTAATGGATAAATATACGAGAGCTAAAGGAGATATTTACTGAGTTTTCTATGCAAGTTAGGAGGTGCGGCCCCCTTGCGGGGTCCTAGGGGCAGAAGTGTTATGGAAAAACGGTTACAGATCCAAAACCTCTGCTGAGTATAAATACTCATTTAAATTCATTTTTTGGCTCAAGAATCTAAGAATTTGAATATTCAAAACCTATAGTGACGAACATCTCTTTTCTATGCCTAAGAAATTAGATTGTTCTTTCTTAGATTATCCCATATTCAGAATTTCGTGCAACTCAAGGCTATAGGGTCGAAATATCTGATTTGGAAAGTGATATACACGATTCAAGTAAGAACCCAAGTAATTGTGATTTCAGAAAACAACCCTATTGTTCATCTACCCTAACAACATTCTCTTAAAATATGTACCATTTGCTCTTATACCATGTATTCAACTTTATTTTTCCATCAATATTGCAAAAACGGAAGTACATTGTGAAATGCCAATCACGGAAACCATGTGATCGCTTTGCGCACATATGTCATAACAATTTAAGTAATAATTCTTAATTTTCAATCATCCAAAACTCAAATTAGCCACACTTTCCTCTTTATCTATATTGTCACCATTATGACTTATTGGTACTGTTACAATTGGTTGATGTCGCATGTTTGGGTGTATTAGAAGATATTGAATAAGACGTATATTAAATATTAACGAAAGAAATATATATTTGTTCAAAAGCTTTCAAATTTTATAGCATGAAAGTCTGAAAGGTGCATGTTAATGTTTTCGAATAATGACCACCATGGTATATATATATTACTATATATGGATTATATATATTCCAAATTTCCAATCATTGAATGAGAAGGACTTCTAGTATAACCAGATGAAGGAGTCAAGCATTCTAAATCACAATTTTGGGATAAGATGTTGACATAAGGATGAGGTGGTTAACATACTAGTATTATTCTATCACTTCTAGATTTGATGTTACAACTATTAATTGTTGCAACACGAGGTTTGACATTGATCAATCAGTTTACGAAATTATGGCAGCGGTAGAAAACAACTTTGGACGAAAGTCCATAATTATTAGCAGTCAAGAAGTCTCTTACAACATATGTGAGGGATCTGTTACAAACCATGCAAACAGTTAAATCTTAGACATCTTTATAAGGAAGGATTCTTATTTTAGAAGTCTAATACCTTAAAATCTTGTAATTAACTTTATGATTACAGTGCATTGGCTTGGTATGAGCAGGACTCCGTAGTTGTAGCTGCGTGAATTCAACTGAACTGTGCTAACAATTTGATGTCTTTGTTTTGCCAGCTTGTGCCGTTTTTATTCTTAATCAAGTTGCAACATCATCTATGTCAAATTGAAATCCAATTAAGAACAAATATTTTTATATATATGAAAAATCAAGATCTGGTGATATAACGCAAGGTCTTCCAATTCTTAACTGCCGCAGTTTCTACTCCTGCTAATAGTTTAGCACATTCTTTGGTAGAAATTCTTTAGTAGCGTATTCAATCAAACGGGTAATTTTCTCCCCTTCTCCTGAAGTTACGGGGCTATTTTGCCAAGTTCCTTAGAGAGAGTTGTCTCGCGCCCCTAGGTATTCTCTACCTACCCACCGTTTGGGGAACGTCCAGTGCCAAAGTCACTGAATGTTTCAATTTGTTTAAGAAATAAACTTCCATATATATATATATATATATACATATATACATATATATATATATATATATATATAGGGTTGGATTCACGTGACGTCAGACTGTTTTCGTGAGACCACATTTTTACACTTGAAACTTCACAACAAAAACACTGTGAAAGGTTTAAAAAAGTCGAAACTTCACAGCAAAAACACTGTGAAGGTTACCTTCACAGCATTTTGCTGTGAAGTTTCAAGTGTAAAAAGCTGGTCTCACGGGTCTCACGAAAACAGGCTGGTCTCACGTGATCCCAAGTCTATATATATGTGTATATATATATATATAGAGAGAGAGAGAGAGAGAGAGAGAGATGTTATTCTACACCCTTTGCCATTCCTACACTCTATACAACCCTCATCTCAACCATTCAATTTTTAATCAATTAATTGTTTCCTAATATAAAGTATTAATCATAATTAATAAACTHTATTCATATTCCATAAATATTCAAATCATAATAAATGAACTCCAATCATTTCTATAAATATCTCAATTAATTGGGTTGCAAAGGTTGTACAAATGCACAAGGTTGTAAAAGAAATATACCCTATATATATATATATATATATATATATATATATATATATTTATTTATTTATTTATTTATTCCCTTGTAGCTAAATGCAACATCATTCATGGGGTAATGTTTATTGAGGTGTAAATTTTTTTAGAGCAACTTGCCTACAAGTAATATTTGATAAAATATATGGACTTCTGCAAAATCTAAATGGCTAGGAAATAGGATTTCAACCTATTACTTTCAATATACTACAATCTAGGAATGAATGAAAATAGGGGAAAACACAGATAGTTATTGAAATGTACTGTTTGAGCACTGATCATCTATGTACCAAAACTTGTGAAACAAAACCACATGAAAAAATCAACTGAATTACTTTTCTGATCGGTACATATTTAGTTGTTGAAGCCAAGCATGCACTTGACAATGATGGCATATGTTTTCTTGAATCATCTAATAATTGGAAAAAGCATTGATCTTTAAGTTGAATGTGACAATGGACCAGTATTTGCTGTTATTATCGAAGTTAATATTGTTTCCTTAATTAATTAACCATAGCACGGCGCTAATCTTTCTTCTTAATATCTTGAATTTTTTTGGATCCAACCCAATGCTCAGATTTAGGCATCAACCCTTTTAAAACATTTTACACAAAAAAAGCCCACGAAAAATGCAAAGAGAATGGTGCACCAATCTTAAGAGTTCCTTGCACCATGGACACGGCCTCGCTATCCTCCTAAACAATGCCTCTTAATTTGCACTAGTAATTTTTATTAATAATCTTCCAACATGCATCAACAACCATAAAACACTTAATTTTGACCTTTTCCGAACATAAGGAAGAGGTGCATTTTCCGAACATACAGTTTGAGCAATTGAAAGGTACGTGTCCTTACTAGACATCCACACAACCTATATAGTCTTGCAAATGAAGATTAATTAGGAAGACTGTCCAACAATTATATTCTTTGGGTTGCTGTGTATCGAAATGTGATTCTGTCTAAGGTAAATAAAATGTTAATTAATTTTTATACCATCTACAAGTTATTTCGATCTTGTGTCTATCTATGTGGTGTTCATAAGGACCCTCTTTTAACTTTATTTTGGTAAAGGGACAAATACCATGCAAAATTATAATAGAACAATAAAATAATTTCAAATATTTCAAACATGCTTTGGGTACTTATCAAATCAATACCAGAAAACAATAATGTAATACCATTCAAAACTTTCATTACGACTAACAATGAAATTTATACTACTTATTTTAATCTTCATAAACTGAGTTGTATCACATCTTCCACATCTCCAAATATCAAAAAAGTCCTCATCCATACCATGCAAACATCACTTCTTTCGCTTTCACATATTATTTTCTTGTCTTCACTTCCCCTTAGCCAACACAACAAACTTTTTTGAAGTACTCGTGTCAACTATCGGTAACTGTACATTTTTAGCTTTTTTCATACTGACCACCTTATATTTTTATGGGGTGGGAATATCAGACAATCAGACAATCCTTCCTACCAGAACTTCTTCATAACTCAATGATTACATTATTATCCAACTTTATTTGTATATTTCAATTATCTTTTATTTATTAATATATTTTTCTTTCATTTAATCAAACTCTTATCTCGACTTCAATCCCAAGACTAACATTGCCTCTCTTGTCTTATCACATCCATTTGATTATCTCCAAGTTGGTTCCATCTCTTGTTGAACTTTGGAGGATTCATCATTCTTTGATTGATCACTCTTGTTTAATTAAACTTAAGAGTGTACATCACCAATCAATTTTTTTCCTTCTATTAGAGGTATTACCCTCTTATTCCTTATATGAGAAGATCGTTTCAAATATCTCTGCTTCTGCAGATTCTATAATCATATTGTTGTTTATGTCATCTACATTAGATTTTTATACTAAGAACCTATATTCAACACTATTATGAGTTGGATTAAAATATACACAATCTACTGTTTTAGGTCCAAGTTTAGTAGTACAAAAACTTGATGTAAAAGCAGAAGGTGGGAGCAAGGATGGGTTTCTCTCCTCTAGAAAGCGACTCCGTGAGAGGTACAACAACAACTTTCTTCTTCACAAATTTCCCGGAGAAGGTCTCGGAGCAAAGTTTATGGCGAGAATTCAAAAAGCTTGGGTTGTTGGTAGATTTGTACGTGGCTAGAAAAAGGAACGATCAGGGTAAGCGTTTCGGTTTTATGAGGTTTATCAAGGTTGAAGATTGGAGGAAGATGGAAGAGAACCTCAACAAGATGTGGTTAGGCTCTTACAAGGTTAGGGCCAATCTCGCTCGGTTCAGTAGGAAAAATGGAGCAAAGGCGACAGCAAAAGTCCCTGTCGGGCCATCTACGGCGCACTCGACCTCGAAGGTTCGGTTCATTAGGGGGGACAAATCGTTTGCGGAAGCAGTAAGCGGGGATGGTCGTGGCATAAAGCCATCTCAGAATGAGTTGGATGTGGAGGATGTAGTTACGAAAAAGGAAACTTTGGAGCTGTTTCCGTCAGAAGATATTCTGACCAGGTTGGAGTCCGTCCTAATCGGGGAATTGAAAAGTTTTGACCCTCTCAAGATGATTGGTTCTCTGTCGAAGTCGGAAGGCTGGGATGGTATTCGAGTTAGCTATCTGGGGGGTTTATCCGTGATGTTAGAGTTTGCCTCTAGTGATTGCGCACGAGGTTTCTGCGATAAGGCTTCAGCTTCCTGGAAAGACTGGTTTGTTTACTTGCGAAGTC